GTAGTTTGTACCGTTATCCGAATACAATTTACTTACAGGGCCACGGCGGGAAAGAAATCTTTTAAATGCACCAATGAAGCCCGCTGTGCTTAGATAACCAACGAGTTCTGTATGCACAGCCCGAGTAGTCAAACATACGAAAATGCAGACGTAAGCTTTTGTGGATCTTATACCACGCCCGCGAGTGAGCCTGACCTTAAACGGACCAGAAAAATCATACCCGGTGTGCATGAAGGGCTTTACGGATTGTGTTACTCAACAAGACCTAAGGTCCGCCATTTCCGGAAATGATGGCTTAGGACGTACTCGAAAGCAAGCTATACATCTGTGCACCCTATTGCGGATTAAATTACGTGCTGAAAGAATCCAATAATTCTGACGCAAGATTGACATCAGCAAGTCGGGGCCAGCGTGAGAATTCAATTTATGGTGGTAATCAACTAGTAAATTCATGATATGGTCTTTTCGCGGTAAAACTATAGGGTGCCGTTGGTCAAAACTCAATTGCGAGTTAGACAAGCGCCCACCTACCCTGACGATTCCATCTTGTAAAAATGGCTTAGGACGTTGAAAAGTGCGACTACAAGTTCTATTCGATTGTAATTTTTTAAATCTCATCGGAAAAATGTGCACGTTGAAGTTCACGCAATACATTAACTCGGCATAGCTGTAATCGGACGCTACGATATATAAACGTTGCGGTAAAAGCTTCGCGAATCGACAAACGTAAATTACGCTACGCAATAATTTAGACCAAGAGGACAAGTGGTTCGCCAAAGCAATGATTGGAGAAACCTCGCTCGAAACGTTCGCCACCAGAGCGTGCCTCTTCTCTTCCGGTGGTCGGGACACTGACGTAGGGTCGAAATCGGTTATTGGCCACTGCGAGGGTTCCAAATGAACCCAAGAAGATCCGTGGAACCAAAGCGAATGGTCCATATTTGCATCGGGGTGAGTCCACGGGATAGACAATCGGCAGGGTTTTCCGTACCGGACACGTGATAAAAGTTCCGTGTTCCTAACTCGTCTTGGATCTTGGCCACTCGTTTCGCGGCAAACGTATCCCAGCGGTGGGGTGAAGAATGAACCCAAAATAAAGCGACGGTTGAGTCAGAAAAGGCAAATATTCTTTGTATGCGAACTCTGACACTACATGCACTGATAACGGCGGTGATAAGCTTGGCAAGGACTAATATCGCGCAAAGCTCTAAGCACGCGAGAGAGACAACATTACGGCGGGATACTCTTGAATTAGAGCTAATGAGGCTGATCGAATTTCTACCATTATTCTGGACGTGAAAATAAACAACGCCCCCGTAAGCCTTCTCGCTAGCGTCTGCAAACCCAACGACAGTGATGACGCTATTTCTATCGACGTTTATATGACGTGGTATTTTAATTTCGCTTAGTAAAGGAAGTTCCTCTCTAAAACGCAGCCACAAACGAACACTGCTATCAGACGACGGGTCATCACAATCGCATTCACATAAACAAAATTGTTTAATCAAAAGCTTAGCGTATAGCACAGTCGTCGGTTACTCTAGTTCTACTGCGGATATCCTCGTTACAAGTTTACTCACGCAGATACCCCGAGCATAGCCCTTTCCGTGGCTCGCTGAGAATACATTCAATCATAAATAATCATTTAATATTTTTATTTCGTAATTTTATTTATGTATCAGTTTTAAAACTTTGAAAGTTTTTTGTTTTAAAATTTTCCACCTCACACTTTTAATGCAACGAACTGGTACAATTCGGCTAATAGAAATTTGTTATTTCGGACTCAGATGTTATCTGTGCCTCGCTTCAAAAGACTAATTCGCATGCATTAATAACGGGGATGAGATGACTCGCTACACATTAGTCAAGCTCGGAAACTGTTTTATCCCGACGCGCTGTTTTTGATTTATTCGGAAATATAATGTGCTCATCTCTGTGTGTTTCTGGGATACCTACTATAAATCATGTTACTGTCGGTGTAATTGGTAAAGAAAGCGTATTAAAAAACTTTATTGAAAACGTCACTCTGAAGGCAATAGTCAATTGGTATCAAAAACTAATTATTGAGCCATGTTTTATTTACTAGCCTTCGTAAGCCTACTACTGTTCTGTATCCATGTATCATTCATTTCATTTCAATTCAAATGTTTCAGCCTTATTCCAAAACACAGACTAAATATAGTACCGGAGTTAGTACTAGGTTAAAATCATGAACTAAAGAAAACGTTGTTACAAAACGAAGACTATCTTTTTAGTTCATGAGTTATCTACGGTACTAAAGTTAAACTTTCGAGACCCCTAGTTTAAGTATGGTATTAACCTCAATTTCGGTACTTTTTTATTTCATTACAGCCCTTCACAAGTCCACTGCTGAACGTAAGCCTCCCCCAAGTAACGCCACAAAGCACGGTCCTGAGCCACCTGCATCCATCGACTTCCTGCATGTCTTACCAGGTCATCACTCCATCTAGTGGGGAGTCGCCCTACACTACGTCTACCGGTACGAGGCTGCCAGTCGAGAACCTTTCTTCCCCTTCGGTTATCGGTTCTTCGAGCTATATGGCCGGCCCATTGCCACTTCAGCTTACTAATCCGTTGGGCTATATCGGTCACTCTGGTTTTACTGCGGATATCCTCATTTCTGAGTCTATCACGCAGAGAAACTCCGAGCATAGCCTTCTCCATAGCTCGCTGAGCGACCTTGAGCATCCTCATACGGCCAGCAGTGAAGGACCACGTCTCAGATCCATAAGTCATCACTGGCAACACGCACTGGTTGTACACTTTAGTTTTCAGAGATTGAGGTATACCTGACGAGAAGATGTGTCGTAATTTCCCGAATGCTGCCCAGCCGAGTTGAATCCGTCGATTGACCTCTCGGTCGAAGTTGGACTTACCTAGTCGGACTATTTGTACCAGGTAAACGTACTCGTCAACAACTTCGAGCATAGTGCTCCCAACAACTACCGGCATAGGTGTGACATGGAGATTAAACATGATCTTTGTTTTGTCCATGTTCATCTTAAGACCTATCCGTTGGGAGACACTATTGAGGTCATTGAGAATAGTGCTAAGGTCCTCCAGCGATTCTGCCATAAGAACTATATCGTCGGCAAATCGAAGGTGAGTGATGTACTCGCCATTAATGTTAATACCGTATCCTGTGAAGAGTTTCGGGGATATAACGTCACCTTGTCTTACACCTCTCTGCAGTTGGATAGGTTTCGAACTCTGGTTCTGTATTAGGATAGCCATCGTAGCCCTACTGTACAAACACTTCAGCACTTCGATATACCGATAGTCAACTTGGCACCGCTGAAGGGACTGTAGCACCGCCCAAATTTCGACGGAATCAAAGGCTTTCTCATAGTCCACATACGCCAGGCAAAGTGGCAGATTGTACTCTTCGGTCTTCTGTATAATCTGACGCAGGGTATGTATGTGGTCTATGGTACTGAAGCCTTTTCGGAAACCGGCTTGTTCGGGAAACTGGAAGTCGTCGAGTCTGCGTGCGAGACGATTCGTAATGACTCTCGAAAACAGCACGTAGACGCGGCTCAGTAGGGAAATCGGTCTGTAGTTCTTCAAGAGAGCGTTTTCGCCTTTCTTAAAGAACAAGACCACCGCACTTCTACTCCACGCCTCCGAAGTAGTGACACCATGAAGGACGGAATTGAAGAGCTTCTGAAGGACTTCAAGTACCGGTGTTCCACCCGCTTTCAGAAGCTCTGCTGTAATTCCATCCTCGCCTGGGGCCCTGCCGTTTTTAAGGTGCTGGAGAGTCATTCTAATCTCGCTCAGACTGACATCCGGGATATCATCGGAATAGTGTCGGGTAAGATTTGCTCTTGGATCGTTACTCACACTTGCGTGTGGCTCCAACGATGATGTGTACAGCTGCCCATAGAACCTCTCAATCTCACTCAAAATCTCAGGTGTCCCTTAAATGATGCTGCCACACTCGGTCTTCAGCATTACAGTTGCCTTTTGCAGACAGATCTCTGGCAAAGACTTTGGAGCCCTGGTTCCGCTCGATCGCTTCTTTAATACGAGCAGTATTAAAGTTGCGTAAGTCTCGCCGCATGCATGTGGAAATCTGTCTGTTCAGTTGCCTGTATGCGGTCAAATCTGTTGACGATTGCAGCCTCATCTCCCGTCTAACAGCCATGAGATTAAGAGTGTGATCGGAGAGTTTTTGTGTTCTTCTGCGGCGGGTCTTCTGAACTTAGCTCCGACCGCATGGACAGTTTCCACGAGCTTGTCATTAATATCGTCCACTGCATTGCAATTTTCTAGGCACTGAAAGCAGTTACGTAACTCGAGCTGAAAGGTTTCGGGATTCTGGATTAGAGCACGAGGGGGGACGGAGCGTTGACTTCATTAGACGAGACCTCTCCAACTTAACGTTTAGGTTCAGTGTACCTCTAACCATTCGGTGATCGCTGCCGGTTTTCACCCTTGCGATCACTGAGACATCACTGAACAGTTGGCGCCTGTCGTCATAATGAAGTCAATCTCATTTTTTGTCGAACCGTCGGGGCTCGACCAGGTCCACTTCCTGTGGGGCCGCTTCTGGAAGAAAGAGTTCATCGTAAAGAGTCCCTCTTTCTCCATAAAGTCAGCCAGCTGCTGGCCCCTACGGTTCCGTTGCCTTACTCCAAATTTCCCTAACTTCAGCTCACCGCCTTCTCTTGTGCCTAGTTTGCGTTGAAGTCTCCCATCAACACCGTGTAGTGGGTTTTGGAGGAATGCATGGCTCTAGAAATATCCTCATACATTTCCTCCACCTCCTCATCGGGATGTGCCTAGGTTGGTGCGTACACCTGTATAACCTTCAGCGAATACCGTTTGGTGATTCTGAGTATCAGGTACGCGACCCTCGTCGACACACTCCCAATCTTTACAACGTTGTTGACGAGAGACTTGTGGACGATAAACCCGACACCTCCTTGGTACTTTTTTATCGTTGTTTTTATTTCGTGTTTTTAAATTCGTTAAAAATGGATATAAACACGATTGACTTGATGGATTTAGAAGATTTGGACATGCTAGAGACTACTCGGCGACCTGATAGAGATCGTCAACGTGTGAATCCGTTTGAATTGAGTGACGAAGATTTTCGAGAGAGATTAGATATAAGTATAGGTTCTCAAAGTGTTTCGGAGAAAAAATAGTGGGTATTTTACGTGAGGATTTAGTGCATGACCCTCGAGGATGTCCATTGAGTCCCGAAATTCAAGTGGTTTTTGCACTACGCAACTGGGCTCGCCATGAAGTAAGTGTTATTTATAATCTTCGTCAATGTACACATTTATATAGGTACATCCATACAACATTACGTTACATAAAAAGCCAAAAAAATACATTACCTATTGTTTTATTCGTAGATTCAAGACGATACAGCTTATACATGGTATGCCTCAACTAGTAGTCAGTAGGACATGTAAAAAAGTAGTGGAAATTTTGTCATGCATGTCCCGAGAATTCATTAAAATGCCTACTACTTTAAATGAACAGCAGGAAACCATTAGGAAATTTCGTAGTATTGCTAATGTTCCTACAGTGATTGGCGCAATTGACTGTACTCATATAAGAGTAAAGAAAATAAATGCTGATGGGGTTCAGTTATATATTAAGTTATATATATAAAAGTTATATATATAAAAGGATTTTCTTCAATGAATGTACAGGTAATATACAAATATTTTCAATAAACTGTGATTGTCTCTTAATTACTTTACTTTACCCTTATAGAAAATAATTTGTTTGACATCTTATGGCAATAAATATATGCCATCAAAAACATAACTTGTAAAAAACCAAGTCTCGCAACTCAGTTCTTCTACCGTAAAAAGTTGTGAGATCCATGTAATACCAAGTCCGTTAATTTATTCAGTCCCTACTTAAGGGTCCTTCTGTTTTAAGTTATTACGTAATTAGCTAACCTAACAACATTTTATAATGACCATATCAATGTTTAAAATCTTTTATGTTTCAAATAAATAGATTGACTTGGCCATCGCATGAAAACACAATGTATCTCACAAGTAATACATATTATATTAAATTTGATTGCTTATTGCGATTGCCAAGTCAATCTACATATTTAAAACATAAAATTCAGGATTCTAGTTTTATCCACTACGAAGTTATGGGGGGTCGAAAATGGCTTGAATTGCTTCGAGAAAAGTATGTTATGGCCTTAACGCTTTTTTTGTTCGACTTGGCGGGGGCACTGCCGTGCACCCCGATAAAATTGAGGGTTGGATTTAGAATCTTTTTTGCAGGAATTTGGGAGAGTAAGGTGTTTTTTTTTTTGGTAGAGGTTTGGTCCCCGATTATAATTATACCACTCACATTAAAAGGTAATGCACAGTTATCGAAAAAATAAATAAAAACTATTATAACGTATGTAAAATGATACATTTTTTATTATTAAACTGACTTTACGGCTCTGGGATCTAGCCCTTCTGAGAAAAAAAATTATACGATATTACTGTGAAAGCTGGATGGCGATAGCAAAAAAAAAATAAAAAAATATGCATTCCGCCATTTCCGCCCTTGTTTGCTTTTCTTGCATGAATATGTGCTCTCCAGTGTATTATTGTAGCTTTTATCGACGACTGTTTTCTCTTTTTTGGATACCGATTGCTTGCCTACACAACGAATTATCTACTTTTCTACCCCGGACACCGATTTTCTGCCTACTCGATTGATCTGTTTGCGCATTTGGATTTCGATTGCTTGCTTACACGACTTACCTACTTTTCTACACGGGACGCTACGCGTGTAACATTAAAAATGTCTGATTAAGAGGAACCTCAACCATCTATGAGTTGCGGTTTTGACAGTGACGAACCGCCAGTGAAACGCCATTTATATGTCGAGGAGATGGGGCTAAATGCATGCATGTAGTTAACGACCTGGAGATGAAATAGGTTAATTTTTTTCAATTAAATTTTAAATTAATACTTAATCTTGTTTTAGGTCGGCACATTGAAGGTCATTGTGTGCTGGGAATGATTGAAAATGATAGTGAAGATTTAAGATTAGAAGTTTGCCCCTATGTGCGATCAAACCAAGCATCAGACCAAAATGTGCGTTCTTCTGAAGTTTTGAAGCCCTTTCATCCATACTGATTTTTGGCGGGCTTATGATGGATTAGAAAATTATGGGTACATACACAAAAAAGTAACTCATAGTGATCCTGAAAACGCTTTTGTGGCAGCGGACGGCACCCACACTCAAGGAATTGAGTCTCAGTGGCGTATCGTCAAAAGATATTTCGGTAAAGACAACTATAATAATAGAGAAAATTTTATCGACTTAATATATGAATATTTATGGAGAAGATAAATTAATTATAAGGAATAAAAGAGATCCTTTTGAGGAATTAATAAAAATAATAAATTATGTTTACAAACAATAAAGAAATGATTATAACATACTGTGTATTATTTCTAAATTGTTTAAAACTATCTGGATAGTTAATTAATTTAATACTTAAACACCCAGTAATACTTTCAATTGTAATAGGTTAGATGGTTGTGGCGGGAGCAAAGGCAACCTAACTTTATAGATATCTGATCTGTACAAAAATTAAATGAGCACGCCCGAATCCACGTAGTCTTGTCTGCCCTACCCCTAGTGTTTTTGTAAAGCCGTAGGTACGGAAGGAGAGCAGCCCCCGCCCGTCGTAGCATATCGCAGGCACCTGTGCGAGCCGTAGTGTGCTTATTAATATATTATATATTATGTTTATAATTAAAAGTAATTATAAAAGCCAATATGTTGGTGTTTTGTTGAGTGCAAGAGCGAGCGAAGCGAGCTCGGGACTTAGGGCACCCCGACTCGGACAGGTTAGGTTAAAAGGGGAAGGGGAAAGGGGACCCAGCCATCCCCTTTGTGGTTATTTTTTTGTAAACCACTCAGAAGTAGGAGTCCCGCTAAGCGGGGCTCAGTCGACCGGGCTTCCCTCGACTGCGCTACTTGGTGCTTCCCTCCCCTAAGTCTCTCCCCCCATAAATCAGGTTTATAGTCAAAAACATATCCTCATAATGAGATTTTTAAATATTTATAAAAAAAAACTAAGCACGTCCGGTAGGAGGTGGAAGTGAAGGGCTCTACAACTCCCTCGCCTTCATCCCCACCACGTCCCACCCCGAAATTCTTTTTGAGGTTATTCCTATGGGATTTTCTTTTTGAAAATTAATGCACCGTTCTTCAACGGTGCATTAATTTTTAATGTGAGTGGTATTATTATAATCGGGAACCAAACCTCTACCTCATAAAACACCTTAATCCCCCAAATTCCTGCCAAACGATTCTAAATTTCAACCAAAATTAATACTAATTAATACTTACTGATTTTTTGGGTTACAATTTTGCTGCACATTCAAATATATTCAATCTATATCAGAAAAACATAAAGTACTAATGATCTCTCACTTTTCAGGTGGTTTGTGATGCTGACCTGAAAATTATGGACATTGTTACCAAGTGGCGTAGCAGTGTACATGACTCCAGAATATTCAGAGAATGTAAACTAAAACAGAGGTTTGAGGCTGGCGGATTCTCTTGAATATTACTTGATGACAGTGGCTATCCTTGTACTCGATAACTTTTTACACCACTGCTGATCCCGACAACACCACAAGAAGAACGATATAATAAGGGCCATATTCGTAACAGGAACACGGTGGAAAGATGTTTTGGTTTGTAGAAGCAACGGTTTGGTTGCTTTTAAGCCGTAGATATGTTTGGGGATATTGAAACAGCAAAAAAATTGTTGCTTGCGCTGTACTACTCATTATGGCCATCGACATGGAAGAAGATGAAAACGAGACACGACATGGAAGAAATGAGGCATTCCATCTAAGTTCTCACGAGTAACAATTGGTCGGGGGTGCATTTTGATTCGTAATCGAGGATAGATGTAGATGTCTATAAGCCACAGCAACCACTTACCATCAGGTGGACTGTGTGCTCGTTTGTCACCCTATCCTATTAAAAAAAAAGATGTATTTTCTGAGGAGGGAGATAGCAATTAACGATATTCACCTGAACATATTGTAGTTTGAGACCTAAGGCTTAACCAGACGGACACCTAAGGTCCGGAAACAAATTTATCGAATCCCACAAATATCTTTCATGACATGACAAAAATAACATATAGGTGAATAACTGGCAAATAATTAAAAAAAATAATTGCGTCATCTAGCGGCGATATACTTAATTTCCTTTATACAATATAACGCGGAAATAAAACGTATCGCAAAGTTTTATCAAATGAACGCTAGATGGCGGTATTATATATGTACATATATGTAGTTTAATTAATTCCATTCTATTTTATATTAGGTAGATATATTGCATAATTTGCATATATTTTGTTATAAAACTATAATATAGGTATAGACTATTTTTCGATTTAATCTTATCGAGAGTTATGACGGAATCACGACAGGAATAATGTTTAATTATAATGGCTTGAAGTACATTTTGATTCGTAACAGTGATGCAATTTATGCAAACTATAAGTAGAAATTATGTAATCTCAGGTTTTTTATCATCTTAAGGACTTTGAGATAATATCATCATGAAATGTATACCAAAGATATTGTATGTATGGAGTGTAGAAGTAAGGAGTACAGACTGTATATTATAAAGTGTCCATAGAAAACCGTTAATAAGGGTGGCGCCACTATAGCTACGGGCTAAATTTTAAAGAACGTGCCGAAAAATATTAGTAGGATAGACGACTCTTTCGAGGTTATATTTACTAAGTAAAATTATTTTAGATTTTAGAGCTACTGCTACTTTAGCAGCACACTTCAAACCGTCGACAATTGCTAAGTTCATTTCATCCCAGTAGCTACTCCAGCGCTGTTGTGGAGAGTTTTTGAACTGTTATTTACTTTTTACAGATGGCCACTTTTTCAACTATTCTACTATGGGAGTTGGTACTCCTTACTTCTACACTCCATAATCATTATGAATAAGAATTAAAATATTTTAGAAATTAGGTACATATCGTTGAAAATTTAAAAGTTCCTCCTTAACTATGTAAGCGTAAAAAGGGGCACTAAATAGTGGTAGTTGCCAACATAGAAATTTTCCTCTAAGCTTAGATGACTGCTTTGCCTAAATCTTAGTAATGTTGTCACATTTTTGGGAATTTTGTTTTATAGACTGCCAAAAAAAATATACTGAAGTTATATTGTATTTAAATTTAATATTAATAAAGTTGAATAACTGTATCAAATATGAAAAAAAATTAAATAGAGAGATCCGATGTTTTTCATATTCTTTATAGGTATGTAAATACAAATTTGAAAATTGTTTAAAGCTTTTACGATCACTATAGATTCAATCTATTACAAACTCAAAATGTGAAAAGTTTGTAATAAAATACTTATCGATCAAACGTTAGATCTTAATATGCAACCTATCTTTACCTTTCTCATTTAAATAATTGCTTTAGATTACTTATGACTTGCATTTAGTATTTTGAAATTTTCACGTAATCATCATCATCATTACAGCCCTTTACAAGTCCACTGCTGAACATAGGCCTCCCCCAAGTTATGCCACAAAGCACGGTCCTGAGCCACCTGCATCCATCGACTTCCTGCATGTCTTACCATGTCGTCACTCCATCAAGTGGGGGGTCGCCCTACACTTCGTCTACCGGTACGAGGCTGCCACTCGAGAAACTTTTTTCCCCAACGGTTGTCGGTTCTTCGAGCTATATGGCCGGCCCATTGCCACTTCAGCTTTCTAATCCGTTGGGCTATATCGGTCACTCTGGTTTTACTGCGGATATCCTCATTTCTGAGTCTATCACGCAGAGAAACTCCGAGCATAGCCCTCTCCATAGCTCGCTGAGCGAGCTTGAGCGTCCTCATACGGCCAGCAGTGAAGGACCACGTCTCAGATCCATAAGTCATCACTGGCAACACGCACTGGTTGTACACTTTAGTTTTCAGAGATTGAGGTTTACCTGACGAGAAGATGTGTCGTAATTTCCCGAACGCTGCCCAGCCGAGTTGAATCCGTCGATTGACCTCTCGGTCGAAGTTGTACTTACCTAGTCGGACTATTTTTGTCCCAGGTAAACGTACTCGTCAACAACTTCGAGCATAGCCCTCCCCACAACTACAGGCATAGGTGTGACATGGACATTGAACATAATCTTTGTTTTGTCCATGTTCATCTTAAGACCTATCCGTTGGGAATCACCATTGAGGTCATTGAGCATAGTGCTTAAGTCATCCAGCGATTCTGATATAAGGACTATATCGTCGGCAAATCGAAGGTGAGTGCTGTACTCGCCATTGATGTTAATACCGTATCCTTTCCAGTCCAGTAGCTTGAAAACGTCTTCCAATGCAGCGGTGAAGACTTTCGGGGAAATAACGTCACCCTGTCTTACACCTCTCTGTAGTTGGATAGGTTTCGTAGTCTGGTTCTGTACTCAGATAGCCATCGTAACCCTACTGTACAAACATTTCGGCACTTCGATATACCGACAGGACTTTCGACGGAATCAAAGGCTTTCTTATAGTCCACATACGCCAGACAAAGTGGCAGATTGTATTCTTCGGACTTCTGTACAATTTGCCGAAGGGTATGTATGTGGTCTATGGTACTGAAGCCTTTTCGGAAACCGGCTTTTTCGGGAGGCTGGAAGTCGTCGAGTCTGCGTGCGAGACGATTCGTAATGACTCTCGAAAACAGCACGTAGACGCAGCTCAGAAGGGATATCGGTCTGTAGTTCTTCAAGAGGGCGTTGTCACCTTTCTTGAAGAACACGACCACCGCACTTCTGCTCCACGCCTCTGGAGTAGTGCCACCATGGAGTACAGAATTAAAGAGCCTCTGAAGGACTTCAAGTACCGGTTTTCCACCCGCTTTCAGAAGCTCCGCTGTAATTTCCATCTCGCCCGGGGACTTGCCGTTTTTAAGGTGCTGGAGAGCCATTCTAATCTCGCTCAGACTGAAGTCCGGGATATCATTGGAAAAGTGTCGGATAAGACCCGCTCTTGGATCGTTACTCACACTTACGTGTGGCTCCAACGATGATGTGTACAGCTGCTCATAGAACCTCTCAATCTCGCTCAAAATCTCAGGTGTCCTGGAAACGATGCTGCCACACTCAATCTTCAGCTTTGACAGTTGGCTCTTACTGGCAGACAGATCTCTGGTAAAGACTTTGGAGCCCTGGTTCTGCTCAATCGCTTCTTCAATACGAGCAGTATTAAATTTGCATAAGTCTCGCCGCATGCATTTGGAGATCTGTCTGTTCAGTTGCCTGTATGCCGTCAAATCTGTTGACGATTGCAGGCTCATCTTCCGTCTAACAGCCATGAGATTAAGAGTGTGATCGGGGAGCTTTTGTGTTCTTCTGCGGCCGGTATGCTGCTATCACGTAATAGAATGCCATTTATATTATATTAATTTAAATTAATAATATTATGTTCGTTTACAGGTATTTGTATTTTTTTATAATTTACTTATCTGTTTATGGCTTTGTATTATGTGGATAATACATTTTAAAAAAATCAGGTTAATCAGGTGTTAAGAAAAGTACGGTTTAGGGAAAAACAATTTGCGCTTGCAACCTTGGCATATGTCATGAGTATTGATTGTAATCTTTTCGTATTTGACGTTTCACGTTTCTTTTAAGTGTTCGTCATTTTACGGCATAACACGTTTCGTGTCTTTACGACTTAAAAGTAAGTGTGTTTTTTAATTTTTCATTAAAATTTCTATTGATATGTAATATTAAGTGTTTGTTTTGTATATCGAACTAAGATTAATGTGGTAATATGTCATATTTATTTGGATTCATGTGGATGAATTTTTGGCGATAACAACTATAGTCAAATATTGTCTTACGATTGCTGTAAACACGTGTAAAATTGATGTTATTCGGTTTTTTAATGTATATTTTAATGTGTTTATTGTTGTGTCTTCACTTAAATTTGCCTATTTATAAAGTATATAAAGTAACCTCCAAATTCACTTGCGTGTGACGAACATCAATCTATAATTGGAATTTTTATAGTAATATACTATCTTAAAGTATACATTTACTTCAAACTGAATTTATATTTAGGTGTTGATTTTTCACGAGATTCATTTCAAAAATTAGTAAGTATACAAAACTACACCATGTGTTGAAAAAATTGTCATGGAAGATTTCACGAAGAAATATATACATATTAAAACTATTACCATATTTTTTACTTTAATTTACTACAGTATAAGTAAAATATTATGTTTAATGTTGTTTCTACTCTTCCCGAATACGCTGGTTTGTTTTTAAAATAGTTACCTACGTTTACAAAACTAAAGTTAATTTCAACATCTAGATGTTGAATGTTTTGAAATTATGGTATCACCCTTGACTTAAATATAAGTCAGGCGCTTTGAGGATGCTTTTGGGATACTTCCATGGCTGGTTCGACAAAAATGTAGCCTACAGTTTTTGCGAAGCTTCTAGCTAAGAAACCCTTTGTTTGTTAATGCTTTTGATATGTATCATGACTCTAGGATTAGGTTTATGCCGATCACCTAACATATATCCATGTAAACACTTTGCAGAATGCGTTACGTGGCCGCGTATCTTTTAGCTGTGTTGGGCGGTAAGGCTTCTCCAGCCGCTGCTGATGTTGAAAAGATCCTCAGCTCTGTGGGTATTGAAGCCGACTCTGAGAAACTGAAAAAGGTCATCTCTGAGCTCAATGGCAAGAGTGTTGAAGAGCTGATTGCACAGGGTAAGATACAATTACAACTAAAATTTTATGTTGAGCAACGCCACGGTAAGTCATGGGTGTGATGTTTTTTTTTAAATTTATTTTGGTAAATTATATCATACTAAAATTGTTGGACAACAGGGATATTAAAAATAATAATAACAATTGTGACACCCATAACCACAGCTTTCATACAGAAGTAAATAATTATAAATGCGTGAAAAGTTGATAGGTAGTGCAATTAACTTATCAAATCAAGTATTTGCTTTTTAAACATACTGAGATGTGAAGCCACAATATCTACAGGATTAAAGTTAATATTGTAAGACTGGGCAATTACTTACAGGGAAATGCTTACCATATAATGCTTTCTATAAGTAGTAGAATGGGTCAGCTCAACTGGGGTAGGCCCACACAGACTATCTATCACAGACTACCAGCATAAAATAGCTTAATGCTGCTGTGTTTCGTATGAATAGTGTGTGTAGAGATCCGGAGACCCTCTTTTTTACTGGAAACTAGGCTAAAACACTAAAACCAAGATGGCTTGGTCCTCAGGGGTGAACTGCATCTGCATTTTGATTCTTAATTGAGGATAAATGTGGATGTCTATGGGCCAAGGCATCCACTAACCATCAGGTGGACCCTGTGCTCATTTATCACCCTTATTCTATATTAAAAAAGGCATTAGGGCAGTGTGTTCTAGTAGGTATTTTATAGTTTATTAATTAAAGGAATACAGTCACATCTATTACCATAAACTGACATAGTTTCAAATTTCTTTTAATGCCTTAATTCTAATGAGTAGATTATATTTATCAAGAAGTTGTTTGTAGGATAACCAATTGTAAAAACAATACCTTTAAAAGATTTTTATGCACTTCTTCAAGAAATAGTTCCAAGTAGCAGAGTTTGAACTGCTTTGTTCTGGTCGTAAGAGTATAAAGAGTCAGTATAATTTACAGGCTTCGAGGCATTCCATCACCTGTCAGAGATGACAGCACATCTGTAACCTTGTTTGTTTGAAGTTGGCTGCAAGTGTTCATGGGCTGCATGATCAGCAGTTGTGCTTAGGCTCACCAGAGAAATTATAAAATAAAGCCTTTTCATTCCAAACTACATGCAGTTTAACATTTTTGATTTCATGAATTTTATAGTATATTTCGCAATTCGGCGTGCCTCTTAGCATAGGCCTCCTCCAGCTCTCTCCATTGTGCTTGGTTTTCAGCAACTCTGGTCCAGTATGGTTCTAGGATTAGGTGGATATAATCACTCCATCTTGTTTTCAGATGCCCCTGTCTTCTGATAATATAACAGTGTAATTTAAATGCTTCATACAGTAATCCTTTACATACATTTACAGTATATATTTAATAAAGTTTTGAATTCCTTCATATTTATATATATTCACTGCACGGGCTGAGTGCTTTCTGAATCTCGACAACAACACCACCTAACAGGTGCAATTGTGAATCTAAGCCATCCTCGAATTAACTTAATCACACACAAAATTTCATCAAAATATGTCCAGCTGTTTAGGAGTTCATTACATACACGGACAGAAGAAATATATATTAAGATATATATATTTTTTTTTTGTTTATCACATAGGTTACTTCTTGTTTTATTTGTTCTCGGTGTGTAGTTCCATTGGAGTAAAAGTATATATACATTTACTGTATCTATGTGCAATTTAATCTTGTCATATAAAATTACTACAGTCTATATTTAAAAATTGCTGTGTCTGTTAGTCTTGCTAAAACTCAAACACAGCTTGATTGATTTTGAAGAAATTTTTTGTGTGTGATTAAGTTGATTTGAGAATGGTTTAGATTCAAAATTGAATCCGGTAGGAAGTTCTGGATGTTTTCGAGATCCAGAAATCACCCGTGCGAAGGTGGGGCGGATAATAAGAGCAGAGCTGACATTAAACTTGACTATACCTTACACTTCAAAATTGTCAACAACTTAAAAAAGTACAGGTTTTCACTCCATGGGAATTTATTTATACTTTCAAGGAAGGATGAAGATCTGAATAATAAAATCTATTAGAAAATCATCTAAACAATTTTTCGCAAAAGGCATGAAATATATGCATATAAATGTTCACTATGTCAACCAATTTTGATGATTGTATTCTTTTAAATAAACTAACGTTTATTGTTTTTATTTTTGAATTAGTTAGATTTTATTGTTTTTATTTTCAATAGACTAGACTAGAACTAGACTACTAGAGACTAGAATAGAATGGTGCTAGCTACCATTTGCTTGGGATCCTATAATCAATAATATTTAATCCCAGCCCAAGCATTATTTATCAGCAGAACTAGTATATAAGTTCATACTGTGGTTTATAAAATTGGGACATTGAACACATCAGTCAACCCATTGACCCCCCTGACTATGAGTGCTGTAAAGTATTTGTATGTCAGGAATATAAGTTTTAAAATATATGTAATATTAAAAAACAGCAACAAAATAAAATAAAAATTTGAATTATTATCATACAGGTCCTACTCTCAGTGGTATTGTGCCAAGAAATAACATGTAAATATTAAGTATACTCATGATGATATTAATTAATAACACCATCTTTCGTCTGAATGGCAGTGCTGTTAAAACCAATACTGATATAAAGTTCAACCCACATCAGTTATTATGTATATGCATTTGTTTGATTGTTATGTTGTATTTATTGTCAGGTCGCGAGAAGTTGTCATCTATGCCTGTTGGTGGTGCAGCGCCCGTGGCCGCGGTCGCTGTTGCTGCAGCACCAGCAGCTGAGGAGAAGAAGGGTATGTATTCATCCATAAGCCGTGGAAGAGAATCCAATACTGCATATCATTTTAGTGGGTGTCGTAAGATCTCACTATCAGCATCTTACAATAACAACTCAAGAATAATAAATGACTATGGTTGCCAACGTCCACCGAGGGTGGCAACTGTACCAAATATCCCGCCTATGGAGCAATCTATAGGGTAGTTTTATGATTTATAGTTAGGGTTGAAATAAAAAAATGAATGACCCAAGCTATCGCTTAATTTTAATTCCACTTGATGGTAAGTGATGTATCTAAATAGTGTAAAAATACCCTGACTGGGCTTAACAAGTCTATTTACTTGTGCCTCGAAGACATCCATATAATAATCAGATGGACAGACAGATGCTAGCAAATTATTCCAAGTCTTTGCTGAAGATCCTTCCTTCATGATTTACAGCTTTTTCCTACCTGTTTGTAGTCAGTATTCCAAACTTCTGGAGCCAATAGTTTGCTTCATATTTCTTAATGCGTGTACTGTAGCAAGGGAGTGGTGGAATTTGCTGGTGCTTGTCTTCTGTATAATGTAGTGTAATTGTTCTTGAATCATTTTTACTTTTTACTTCGTAATCCTACTTTTCAAATTCTATATACTCATTTAAAAGTAGTTAAACTTATGTACACCCCACTTTTGGGCCTCCTCTCATTTCTGAGAGGGTTGTAATGCGCCCGCCACTCTGCTCTAATGTGTTGGCAGACTTCACATGTCATTGAATTTTATTTTTTATTACAGTTTTAAATAATCTTAATGATGATCGACTAAACACCATCTTTCGACTGAGAGAACTGTGATGGTTAATCAATCCAACTCTGAAATAGTATATTTCATTGTCCCTAGAATGTTCCATGATTGTAGACATACTTAAACTTGTTTTGCTTACAGAAGAGAAAGAGGCCAAGAAAGAAGAATCTGAGTCCGATGATGAAGATATGGGCTTCGGTCTCTTTGACTAAACACTTTTTAACGGTGAGTTCATATAAAATTTAATGTTTTTGAGATATTTTAAGATGTATCTTTTAATGAATGAGGGATATAAATCACTGCTTATGCCTAAAAGTATTGTTAGACTGCCTCATTGGTCTAGTGGTTGTAGTAGGACCACAAAGCTCACTGCTGGAAAGAGGCCTCTCCTGTTGTGAGGAAAAAGCCCTCTCCCATCGTTAGGATTTGCCTCAATTGCCACGCTTGATAGGCAAAATGGTGATTGCAGTCATAATCACAAGTGCACTCTCCCTTATTCTCATACACAGACGAGATGACAAAAAGACACCAAGGAGAGATCAGACGCAGGCCCAACAGCTTTACATGCTTTCCGAGGCACAGGGATGAAACACTGCCAACTTCCTGACTCTGGGCTGCTATTGAGAATTTCTCATCAGGCAAATTCCTATGTATGGCTGATTTTGACCCGACCCGAAACCATACAATCTGTTGTGTTAACTAACACCAGACCGACCCTGCTTTCTGTCTTTGGTAGTGTAAATTGTACTATACTTTTAACAGTGTCAAGTTTAAGAAATTTTCCTTTGTTTCAAAAGTTCTTTACAATATGTTGATGTGTCACATTGTGAAGTTTTCGGGAGATTTAGTCGGCAGCTTGAGACTATAGCATCTCAAGGTGCCTAAGCAGACATTTTATCTTGAGGTTCAAATCACCAATGGAACACTGGTTTTATCGTTTCCACTAATAGTTGACATGTGCAGACATTTATTACACAAAATAGCATCACTTTTCAAAATTATCCGGACCGATACGACTTACGGACCTTCAAGAAAAGAGCCTATTCCTTTTTAAAAGGCAGGTGTTGCAGCTGTTCGTGGACGGCGGTAATCACTTACCATCGGGTGAGCCGTATGCTCGTTTGCCCCCTCCTATAAAAAAACCTTAATTTTCTGATTTATGCTAAATGTTTTTTATATTTTCATTGGTATAGATTTGTAAGTAGTTATGTACATACATTAATTGAAATGTTATTTTGTCCACAGTTTGTGCGGCGCACGCGGTTTTTTATTCCAATTTTGGTGTAAGAGTAACTTGACAGTGAATATGTTTCTGTGAAATATATTTGCAAGACAAATTATGTTGTTTTATTTTATTATGGTTTTTAAAGCTATTTTTGAAGAGGGCGTATATCACAATAATTACCCGACTGCCTAGGAGGTCAATGGTCCTAGAGTATATGTATGTGTAGAATATATATGTCTATTTCCTTGGCATACTTTGTAGCCTAAACGGCTTATAGGATTTTAACGTACTGGGTGTTGTTAAATTTATCTTAGTTTAAAATGGGGTGTAAGAATGTATAAATTTTTTCTTATCAGTAATTTTTTCTCATAGGGGTTTTTTAAATTACCATTTTAATAATTGGGCTTGTAATAAAAAACCACCTTCAAAAAACGTAAACTAATTTCCACATAATTACTATATAGCTTCAAGTCTGCTCTTATAAAGTATTATTTTTTAATATTATTTTAACTTTAATAATAGGTTTAATATTTATATTATGAATATTAAACATATGAGTGGAGTAAACAATAGCACATGCTCAGGGTGATAACTATATTATCATTGAAAATATATCTTTCCATACTAACTCTGCATTTCCACTGGAGATGTGCCAGGAAGCTAAGTGAGCAGCTTGCATATACCGTGCTCTGCTAAGCTCTCAACATAAGTTTTGTGCTGTAGGTGTGCTTGAGTACAAAACTACTGGATGTGCCATAACCTATAATGAGTCAACCAGAAGGTCAGCGACATCCTTTATCTATGCAATGTTCATGCAGGAAACTAAAGAAATTTAATAATAAAAAATATGTTATTGAGTGTACTCGTAGTAACGTATCGTACCTATTACGTACTGTGATCATGAATGGTAGTTTATGGGCGTTTTCCAAAAAAGTTGTACCTTGAAAAAAGTCAGTGTCCGGCCACTTTCAGAATAAATTATCAAATATTATAAAAGTTTTTATTACATATCATTTATTTTAATAATAAAGTAACATATAGTCTCATAAATCAAATAAAAATAAGGTCTGAATCTGTTATAAATCAAAAATAAAATCAAAATAAGTAAAATGGGGTCGATGTTTTTGGTATGTCCCACATCTACTGTGTCAACTTCAGAGTCACATAATACGGTCGTGTTATATTATTATTCAAACTTTTTGCATTTGACTGGTCATTTATGAACGTAACTTCAATTTTAAACCTGAAATGTACATGTTACGGTTGAAAATTATTTTAAAATACCAGATTTTGTGTTGTCCTGCAAAATCGCGTATGATGGAATTTCCGCGTACGTGACCGCATTTTCAACGACTTCCAACAAAAAATACCACCAATTCAATACATTTTCCCAAATATAGCAACATTATTAGTCTATGGTGGCTGCTGTATTTAATTTTTGACAGCCAGTTCGCCAACAAAACGTAATCGAAGTGGTCGTCTCAACTCATGTAAAAAAAATAATTCCACAAACGATACTGCTTTTCTCCAGGTAACGTATTCATGTGTATTTCATTCTATTTTCTATTAAACATGTTAATTTATTGTTATTTGAAATGTTAAGTTATATTGAACAAAAGTTTGATAACTAATTAGTAAATTCATTTGAAAATTTTATTGGCATGGTTACGTTACCTCCATTAGCGCTACTATCGCATGAATGGAACTCAAAAGTGACGTAATGGAATCCTAAAGGTCGGTTCATAAAGTCATTGTTTTAATTAGTGTTCTAAAGTCTAAATAAATTAAGTATGATTAAAATAATAATAAAATGCCTTGAATTTTTTAAATGAATTGCTTATTACTTAATTTCGTGTGTAAATCAAACAAGATTTTTCGACTAGATATTTCAGCTCAAAACACTCCATTCAGGATAACATTAGAAAAATAACAGTGAAATAACGATAGTTATTACGTTATATTGTTGAAATGGCTGCATTTAGTGTTTAATTTTAATGGTATCCTGAATGAAAATTTTTTGTTTTTGCGTGAAAATATATTTGATAAACAGTTATCACATTTATTTTGACAAATATTTCACGCAACGCTTTTTGTAAATCTATATAAATTTTTTCACAAAAATTTGAGATTTTTCGTACGGGGTACATTATGATAACTCACTATTGATTTTAGGTTTAAATATGCCCTTGACGGCTGCAGAAAAGTCAAAACGGTACCGAGAAAAAATCAAACAAAACCCGGAAAAATATGAAGAATTTAAGAAGAAGGAATTACGAAGACAAAAAAAGCACCAAAAGAGGATTAAAAAGCTCACTGAGGACGAGAAAATGGAAAAAAAGAAAACTCTGGAGAGAACAAAAACGAAAACAAAAACACTCAACCGAATCCACAATCAGGGCAATCACGTGACGCATCCAATAATTCAGCTCCACATTCATTGAAAATTAGGTACTGAAAATTGTTAAATAACTACAAAAAGGCTTTCAAGACGATTCGTCAATATAATACAACAACACAGACTCTGAGAAAGAAATTACGCCGAATGAAAAAAAAAACATGAAACCGAATTTGATTTATTGAACACAGAAAACGATAAATTGAAAGCAAGACAAGAAATAATGGAAATATCAATTCGTAGTACGTACAGGAATTGTAAGAAAAATAAAGAAAAACAATTAGTTAAAAACGTGATTAGGAAACAGGCGCATATATTGTAAAAAGCACCTGAAAGTAAGATTTTAGGTCTTAAAGAAAGAATCAGGAAAAGGATTAATTTACAACGACCAATAAATAAGAAGACTCAGGAAGAAATAGAACTTTTTTATTTGAGAGACTACATAAGTAAAAGCACAGCTGGTAAGAAGGAAACCAGGTCCAAAGACAAACAAAAAGCACAAATAAGATACTTAGTCGACACACTGAAAAACGTATACGAAATTTATAAAAAAGACGGTGGGTCATGCGGCTTCACCACCTTTTACAGATACAAGCCTTATTATGTACTGTCTCCAAGTATCAATAATAGAGAAACCTGCTTATGTATTAAGCACAGTAACTTTGAGTACATGTTTAATGCATTGAAGTGTAAAGATGTCATAACTTACAAGAATATAAAGGAGCTCTTGAACATCGTTGCATGTGATATTACGCGTTATGACTGCATGTACAATAAATGTAAAGATTGTAAGAGTATTTCATATGATGAACAAAACCTCGATTCTGCTATATCATGGTTCAAATGGGCTAGGGTAAACCATGAATATGAAATATCTGGCAAAGTATATACAACTAAAAAGACCACCAAACAACAAGTAAAAGGAACTGTACTTTCATCACCAACTTTCAGAACGAGCTACCGGCGTTTAAAACTCATTTCTTTTGGATTGAACAACAACGTCAATACAGAAATTGTATCAAGAACATGTAAGATGACGAGATACTCATTTTATGCGACTTTTCAGAGAATTTTGAATGTAAATATAGTGAAGAAGTCCAATCAATGCACTTTGGTGCCTCCAAAAACACGATCACTTTACATTGTGATGTAATTTTTTGGAAAAATCTATCCCAATCATTCGTATCTGTTTCAGATAACAATTGCCATGAGCCTTTTGTTATACAAAGAATGGTAAAATGTAATGCATGTAAAAATTGGGTTTGCCTGATATGTAGCGGAACAACCTTTTCAACCTTTGTTCGATTTGTCTTGGGACTGATGAATAGTTTTTTGTTACAGTTTAAGACCGTTTACAACGTACGGCATTTCATACAAACTTTCAAGTCTTTATATTTCGAAATAAATGAACCGATTTTAATGAAACTTCCTATGCATAAGCAGGATATATAGGTCCAAAAAGTTAATGAGAACTATTTCGAAAAATAATGTTACAGCTAGATTCAGCTGATTTTAAATTTTCCATAGAAACAGATATTTCCAATTATCTTGTTTTAAATAAGACATTTCAAAAATGTTCTTTACTAACTTTTTAGAACTATGTGTCCTGCTTATGCGTGTGAAGTTTCATTAAAATCGGTACATGCATTTCGAAAACAAGGACTTGAAAGTTTGTATGAAATGCCGTACGTTTTAAACGCTCTTAAATGACATACTAGTAATATTATGTTTAATACGATAAGTACAAGTTACCATAATTGTTGTCATAATTGAGAGTCATATAGACGTTGCCTTATAGTTCCTAAACGTTATTTTCGAATTACATTAACGTCACTGTCCTATTATTACTGTGATTTATTTTCTAAGACTAATTAATAGATCTCAAAGAAATTTGACTGTTTTTGTTCAATATAGCTTACTATAAATTTTTAATTTGATATAATTAAACTTTTGAAAGAATATTTCTCATATTTGACGTTCTAGGATGAAAAAAATATAGTACAAAGTACCCAAAAGTAGCGTAAGGAATATCTTTGTTAAAACATTTTTTGATTAGATCTAATATGCTGAATTATCAATATTTTTTAGAAAACAGATTGTGTTTATTTTTCATAAATAAAGTTAAAAATACTGAACTTCTTTTAGTTTTCATGAAAACTATTTTAAAATTAGTAACGTAATGGAATTTCTTGAGAACATAATTTAATTAAAATTGTAATTATTTTCAAAATTCATTATTATTTTCTTAAAAAAATACTATTTTCATACTGCTCATACTATATTTTATCAATTTAATTACATTTTGAAGCTAAATGTTAAAACTCATATAAGTGGAATTCTAACTACGTCACCGACAATTTTTTTGAAAAACGCCCTTATACATACTATACAATTTATTGTGGCGGTACGTAACATACTGCGTCGGTAGTCTGTAGGCTCAGAAGGGCAGAACCCAAAGCCGTAAAGCCATTTAAAAAGAATTGTAAAATTATGGCTCTTTCTTAATCAAAAGCTTAGGACAATTTGTTATCATTATGTTCTTATGAAATTACCTCTATTTCCAAACTGCATACTCCTACTGTTAGTAATGTAAACACCTAATTAAGGATGTCAGTATTGTATTGAATTGGTTTAACTCATTATTGCAATGAAAAATGAAATTGTTAA